GGACGCATGGGCAACAGGCAGAGAGAGAGAGAGAGAGAGAGAGAGAGAGAACACTCACGGACGAGGAGCGAGCTGCCATACCTTTGAAGACTATAACGTCTAATTATTCGAGTTAGCGATACGGCGAGTGTAACCGATGCGTAACGCTTCAACTTCTTTTGCCGCGGAGGCTTATGAAAAAAAAAAAGATCCAGCGCGTATTTCTTGCGTGTTGCTTTTCCTGGTTTCAAGCGAACGTTATTTTTTTTTTATCGTGTGTGCGCGCGCGCGCGCGTGAATGTGTCTGTGCATTGATCAATAATTGCATACCCGGTCAGGCTGCTATACGTATGAGAGATATTTACACAAGAGCCTTTTATCCTTCTCTCTCATTCCTTCGACGCTTCTCCAATATTTTCCACGCATTCTTTTTTTTTTTACTTTCCACAAACAACGTCCAATTCGCCGAAATAAATTTAAAAAATACCCTTCGACGTGCGCTCTCACGGTGAGGTATTCACAAATTTTTTATGAAAGAAAATCGTGCTCGTGATCGTGAGATTTTCATTAAAATGTTATCTCAATGAAAATACTTTTAGCCAATGAAATATTCAATTTAATTTTGCACGCTTTAGCGAAAAAATGGCCCGGAATCGATACTTTCACAGCCAAGCCAAGATATCGCACCATGGAGACGCTATACGTTGAAATGCCCACGAGTACGATACTTCATACGTTGCTAAGAATATATATATATATAGTGTGTGAGTTTTTCCGATTTCTTAGTCCTCTTTAGACCCTTTTTGACTCTCAATTTGCCATTTTTAGGTTAATTTTCATTCATTTTTTATGATGTTATTTAGCACGTTTCGCGCGCTCTTTCTTTTATGTTTTTTTTTAATTATTTATTACATTATTTGAACCTTTTGCACGACAATTTCGAGATTGTACTGGTATATATGCATTGACAAATTGTTCTGTTTGAAACACTACATCCATATAGATATTTATTGATGAATCAAAATAAAATTGACACCGATTTTTTATAACAACTGATGAAGTTCTACTCATTTCGAAATGTATTAGAAAAATTATCGAAAAAATTAATTAAACCTATGATTGATAAAATGTACTAAGCTATTATACATTATATGATATTGAACTTTATACATACTCAATAACAGTGTTTACGGCTCCATTCTTATAATAGTATGAGTAATACATTTAATATCGTGCGGTTTTTGTTACTTACTTGAAAACACCCGTGAACATTCTTCAAATTTCACGTGTTCAATCTTCTGATAATAAGTTTCCGTTGTTCGCTTACCGCTAAATTTATAATGTACAAAAGATAAAAATGTATTTTCCTTCATTTTATTCTATTCTCTATTTCTTTCTTTCAACCAAATTTCACGACAATGTTAATTTGAGTATCACAGATGATTATAAAATTATTGAGTTATACTGATAATTTCCAAATATAATCTCTTAGTTTCTTAAAACGATTTATTAACGACATGTTTCCATTGTTGTAGATTATTGTCCATTCTGATTATTCATAAATTGAATTTACTGCTGAAATATAAACTTCATACTTTTACATTTATAATGCAATTAATTCAATGCGTACGAAAATTCAAAATTTCGCGCTGTCTTTTCGTATTAACCGATCACAATACTATATATCTGCGACGGTTATCTTTTTTAAGATAAGAAAAGGAAGAATTTTTATGTCCATTTGATGCCTCTTTTAGCTCCTTTTTGTTCCTGAAGTATGAATACAGATGAAAAATAAACATGTGGAAGTTTTCTGATAAACACAAGCTTTCCTGTGTATTATAATTTATATTACTATCAAAATTTTCAATAAAAATACTTGTTTTAATTATTACTGATAGTAGATTTTAGAGTTAATATATAGGTGTATATTGCTACACGTTGCATCAAGAACGCTTAAGGTTGGAATAGTTGAAATATAGGGGGTTGGTCAGTAAAGTGAGCAGAGGGTACCCCTCTAATATATGTATATAACGTTCCATACAACCTTGTTTAATTATGTCGTATCCTTCGAGAAATTGCATATTTCCTATCTGCCTGAAGATTTTATATTAAGGAAAAGAAAACAATAATCTTTCATCCGACTCATCTCACACGTATAGACGCACATAAACGTGCGTGCTCGTTGCGTGAGCAATGATTATGCAAATTTCTCTTGACACACCTGGCATTCGCTCGCATATATAGCATCACCGAGCTATTTACCTTCTGCGCACGGTCACTCGCGGTCAACTCTCTCTCCCTTTCTCTGTGTATACTGTTGTTTGGAAGGTTTGCACGGCGGAGTCTGCGAGGATACGAACCACAGAGTACACTCTAATTCCGCGCGCAGCTCCAAGTCAATGCTATACTCCAGAGATATACGACGAGAGAGAAAGAGAGAGAGAGAGAGAGAGCATCTTTCGTTGCCTCTGCGTACGATTCTGGTTTCAATCCCAGAGATGAAGATGCTCTCTGTCTCTCTCTCTCTCTCTCTCTCTCTCTCTCTCTCTCTCTCTCTCTCTCTTTCTCGCTCTCTCGTTCGCACGCTACTGTGCTGCCGTTGCACTTTCTTATTGGCTACGGTTTACTTGGGCTCGCTTGCTGCGTTTTCACTTTGCTCGTGCGCACCCGCGGGTGTAAATTGCTTCCATTGGATTTATTCGCGTTTATTTGAATTTCGTCTGCACCTTTGATGTAGCTTAATTTTGTAGATTGAAAATTTGAATTCGCCAGTTCTACAATGAAAACTGTTAGACTGAAACGTTTGAATGAATTTTCAAGCTAGCCTGTAAATTATAATTATGTTCTCTATAAGTCTAAGAATTTTCTGGCGATTGATACGTACATATAACGTTATAAAGCGTTTTATGAATGCATTACTAGCAGTACAATATACAGATTAATTGAAGAGTATTCAGCATTGTTAATAGTCCGAGACGCATCTTCCTCGTCCGGAAGTTCAACAGACTACATTATCTGTGTAGCGTTAGAATACCGTTTAAAGAGGAGTCATTTAAAGATATTTACAGCTATCGTTTAGCAAACAGAATTCGCATGGTATACTCAATTAAATTTTTAATTAAAGTATAATATATTCATGTCTTTCAATATGGGCATGAAATATTAGATAAAAGTAAAAGCTTTTTCGATATTCATAAATTTCCAAATGTTTGACATTGGGATTTTCTACACTTTTCAAACATTGAAAGCAAAAGAAAAAAAAGAAACGAACGCTTTGCAACCTATCGATGAATTATTCGCAGTCGCAGATTTTCTATTAATTCGATGGAATTATACTTTTTAATAACGTTCTCGGTCGCGCTTGGTCTAATAAAACAGCGTGGCTATCGTTATATTCAGGCCACGGAAATTCGCGATGGCGACGAGAGCTTATAAAACGGAAAGGCATATAATATTTATAAAAAGAAAGCCGCTGTTATTTTCTCGGGTCGTAAAACGCTGCGCTCGGCGTAGAAAAGAAAGAAAACTATCGTTGCACAGAGAGAGAGAGAGAGAGAGAGAGAGAGAGAGAGAGAGAGGCAGTTATTCCATTTTGCGATCTCCCTTGCGAATGTAGGAGGCAAAATGCGAGTTGGGTTATAAAGGCCGCGCGTGAATTCAAGTAAAACAGCGCGATAGAGAGTGAGAGAGAGATGCGCCATTATCGGAATATATATAGAACTATGCTGCTCTGCCGCGAAGCAGAAAACCGTTAAACGAGAGATTTTCAACTTAAAACACTCGCGCTGCATCTTGCAGCTTCGTTAATGATATTTTTCTTTGAACAGGTATACTCTATGTTGGAGTATGGGTTATAACTACAGTAAGCTAGATGCAAAAGTCATTTGTAGGATAGTTCATTTTAGAGAACTAGTACAGATTTATCTTAACAAAACAATTTATTGTAACAAAAAAATTAATACTTAACAGAATGAAATATCAAAAAATAAGAAAACTACGTCTCTATGTTAGTAAGTAGATAAAAATAAAATAAAGAAACTAGATTTTGATGAATCAAATTCATATTCTGATATTCTCCTCTAAACTTTTGTTTTTCACGTGTTGCACCATTTGTCTTCTCGCTTATGCGATGTGTTAGATGAAGGCGCTCTATACGCGAATACCTTTTGTCCTTGCGAGCATGGAAGAGCGTGTGCATTTCATTAACTATTCCGTAAAGCAGTTTTCTTTCGAGAAAATAGAATAAAAGCTTTTTGCTGATACAATTACACGGAAGGGGCAACTGATTCAAACGAGCAACAGATTTAATGGAGGGTTAACGAGATTCTTACCTTGTTTTCGACCAAGCTTTTTTAATTCTTAAAAGGAATAAAACTTCAGACAGTTTTCGTTTTATTTTTAAGCGTTTATTAGAGCAAAAGTCACAAGCGACCGCTCTCGACGCGAAAAAAAAAAGCCAATAGCAAAAAAAAGGGCGAGCGCAAGCTCGTGTGTCGTTTGTCCAGAAAAAAAAAAAAAAAAAAAAAAAAAGGTAACAATTTCATCGCTATGACTACAAAAACAATTCATCACTATGACTAAAGAACAATTGCTCGCTCTTCGAAAAATCAAAACTTATATTAGCCTGTCGGTAAATCGCAAACTTCTTTATCCTATCGGTAACATCCTCCTCACCTACAAAATTTTATATTTTGTATTCTTAAACTTTAATAGTAAACATCAATCATAAATAAAACAAATTATATAATTTACAATTGCGTCTTATTTCATATCTATTACTCTTACCAACTCTCAAGAAAATTAAACCCGAATTTGTCCAGCCAACCGTCCGTAGACAAGCCTCTGCGCTTAACTACCCCGTAGCTTTGCCTTTTACTGAATCAAAATTCATTGGCAAAGATTCTGCGCCCACGAAAGCAATTCTTTCGCGACGCGGCCTTGACACAAATTCAAAGAATACCTTTCTCTTTTGAGTGAGGTTTTACAGTCAATTCTCAGACAAGTGATCCCGCATGATCTATTCATGCGTACTTAACTAATTTATTACTAGGTCTTGTTAACACTCCGTTTTCCGTTCTTAGTTCAACAACTCTTACTCTATTATCGGCGCCTGGTAAAACACGAATTACAATTCCCTTTTTCCAACAGTTTCTTGGTACATTTTCATCGGTAATTATAACTAAATCGTTTATTTTTAATTGAGGTTGGTCCTTTTGCCATTTCTTTCTAGAATGTAATGTTGGAAGATATTCGCGTAACCATCGATTCCAGAATTCATCCGCGTACATTTGAGCTTTTTTCCATTCTTTCTTTAAGTCTAAATTTTTATAAGTATATCGTGGTAAACATAATTGTCCTGAAGAGGATCCAATCAGGAAATGATTTGGGGTGAGAGCTTCCAAATCATGAGGGTCGGCTGAAACGTGCGTTAATGGCCTAGAATTTACACTATGTTCAATTTCCGCTAAAATGGTACGTAAGGTTTCTTCTTTTGGATGCCTATGTCTAATAGTAGCCGCTAACGCACACTTCACCGACCTGATAAGTCTCTCCCACGCCCCTCCCATGTTGGAGGCTGTAGGTGGATTAAACTTCCAAACTATATTATTTTTTGACGTAAATTGAAACAATTTTGCATAGTCAATTGATTCGATCGCCTCTAACAATTCTCTATTAGCTCCAACGAAACATGTTCCATTATCAGAATAAATATACACCGGGAAACCTCTCAATGCCGAAAATCTACGTAAAGCCATGATCGCAGAATCCGCGCTCAAATTATCGACCAATTCGATGTGTATTGCCCGAACCGTCATGCAGGTAAATATCGCTCCCCACCGTTTCTCTTTTCTTCGTCCTATTTTTACCCAAATAGGTCCAAAGTAATCGAGACCGCAATGACTGAAAGGCCTCATTCGATAAGCCAGCCTAGCATCGGGTAGAGCACACATTCGTGGTTGATATGGTTTTGCTCTTAATTGTCGACACGTCGGACAATGCGCAACGATACTTCTAAAAACGCGACGTAAACCAATAATGAAATACAGCTGACGAATTTCATTGATAACCGCTTCGTGATGCATGTGAAAAAATTCTTCGTGATAATGTTGAATGATTAATCTCGAAAGTCTTTCATCGCCATCGAGTATTATCGGATCTTTTCGAAACTCCTGATTGATTTTATTTTGGATTCTACTGTCCGATCGCAGTAAACCATTTTCATCGACGTAAGGAGATAAATTTGTAATTTTACTATTTTTACGAACCGTACCCGAATATTTTAACGAGGCAATTTCAGCCTGAAAGGAAATAACTTGACTTTGAATCAACACTAATGTCTTTGCTCTTTCAAAACGTTCAGTCCGAGTTTCGAATAAGTTTATATTTCTTTTCATCCAAATATCAAGAATCTCAAGAGCTTTTGCTAAAGTGAGCGTCAAACGTAAAAACGTCGAGAATCGATTAAAATCAATTAATGGAGAGAAATGATTAGTCAATAAAATAAATTCTTCTCTAGTAATAAATTCTTTTTCCGTCTCGACTGTCTTTTCGGTGATACTCAAATCTAATTTATTGTTTAAGTCAATTTCCGAATCAAATAGAAAGGGTGGACCTGATAACCAGCGGCTTTTATTTTGCAAAGCCTCCGGCCTAAAACGCGTACCGTCGTCAGCTGCATTTTGACTTGAGCTTACCCAATGCCACTCATCCGGATTTGTTTTCTTACGAATTTCACCAACACGATTCGCGACAAAACTTTTGAATTCTAATGGATTCTTTCGAATCCAACTCAAAACAGTTGTAGAATCTGACCAAAAGTATCGCTTTTTAACAAAAAAATCATGTTCGCGTACGACAAATTCAGCTAATCTCACTCCGATCAGGGCGGCTTGTAATTCTAATCTAGGAATCGTACTTTTGTCGCTAAGAGCTATAGCACGACTTTTCGCCATCACAAAAGCTACGTGAAACCTTTCCTCGCCTATATGAAAGCGCCAGTAACAGACAGCTGCGCAAGCATTTGAGCTTGCATCGCAAAATACGTGTAGCTCGGCATCTTTTTTTTGAAAGTCTCGCAACTGATAACAACGATTAATTTTAACTGACTCAATATTTTTTAACTCGAGAAGCCATTTTTTCCACACGATAAATTCGTCATTCGAAATCAAATCGTCCCAATGTATTTTACTTTTCCATATTTTCTGCATTAAAAATCTTGATTGAATCAAAAAAGGTAACAAAAATCCTAAAGGGTCATAAATAGACATAATGATACCTAGAAACTGTCTCTTAGTCGGACTTTGAACTCCTTGCAAAATTTCAGGTGAAATTTTCTTGCTGTTAAAATTAAAGGTTAAACAGTCTGAGCTATTAAGCCATTTCAAACCTAACACCTTTTCTACACTCTCATCCAGGTTTAAACTATTTATAATCTCTTTTGATTGAGCTGACGAATGAATATCAACAAGAGCCAAACGACAATTACTTGACCAACTGTGCATTTTAAAGTCTGACTTTTCATTGATTTTGATCACTTGTTTTACTATGTCATTCGCTTCTTGACTAGACTCAAAGCTATCTAAATAATCGTCCATGTAACAATTTTCAATTAATTTTTGTGAAGCTATAGGAAATTGAGATTGAAAAGTCATCGCATTCTTATTTTTAATATACAAAGCTGTGCTAGGTGACGATTTGGCTCCGAATAATAATACTCGCATTCTACAAATTGTCGGCTCATTTGTACGATCCGAACCTCTCCATAAAAATCTCTGCGCGTCGCGATCCGAATCAATAATTTTGATTTTCATAAACATGTCTTTTATGTCCGATTTGACTGCAATTTTGTATTGACGAAACCGCATTAAAATTCCTGGTAAAGATTTTAAATAGTCCGGGCCAGGTAATAAAAGGTCATTGAAACTGACAGATTCGGATTTCGAAGCCGCATCGAAAACTAAACGAACTCTACCGGGCTTATTTACATTGCGAACTCCGAAATGAGGCAAATAATAAATTCGATTGTCACTCGATTCTTCAATGACCTTTTCAGCAAACCCACACTCAAACAATCTTTCCATTTCTTTATAATATAAACCAGCATATTCTTTATCGCGATCTAACTTTCTTTCAAGAGATAATAATCGAGACAATGCTTGAGCTTTTCCGTCTGGGAAATTACGTTTTTCGGATTTCCAAAGTAAACCTACTTCCCATGAATCGTTCACGTAATTGCTAGTTGAATCTAGAATTTTAATTGCACGAGCAATACCCGGATCAACACATTTAAACTGAATAATTCCGATAGCATCGAGATTGAAATAATTAAATACTAATTCATTAAGCTCTTTGTCATTATGTGGTTTCGACGGTCTTTTCACAACCCCTGTGTTACACAAATTTATTGATAATGTTTTGATAGAAGAGTTAAAATGACCGTGGATGGACCAGCCTAATAAACAGCGCGAAACAACTAAATCGTCTTTCATAATCGTGCGAACTTCTCGTGTAAGAATAAGACGACAATTGTCTTGACCGATTAACATGAGAGGAATTTCATTGAATGGCTCCACGTAAACGTCAGTTCGCTGTTTGCAAAAATCAGCTAATTCTTTAACAATAACTTGTCTCGACAGTGGAATCTCATTGACAACTAATAAATTATTTACTGCGAAAAGATCTGATTCAATTTTGACATGCAAATTTGTTTTATAATTTGACTTTAAAACTGCTTTTTCACCTGCTATACCTTTGATATAAATATTCGTTTTGAATTTAGGAGCTGATAAACGTTTTATTACAGAAGCATCTATAATGGAAATTGTTGCGCCATCGTCAATCAAAGCGTAGATTAACGCTGATTTTTCGTTTACTGAGAGTTCAACCCGAATAGTTTTTAATAAAGAGCACGAAGCTAGTCATGAATCAGCGTTGAAAGAATTGCTTGGAAATTGATTTTGTTTCAAATTTTCCTCACTATCAATTTGAGCAGTCTTTTGAGCTTCAACGGACTTTGAAAGTTCATCTTTTGGAGTGAAATGTAATAAGGTGTGATGATTTCGTTTACAACGAGCACAAGTGATTTTGGATTGACAATTTTCACGCGAATGACCCTTTTCAAGACATACGAAACACAAACGTTCGCTCCTAGCAAATTTCCAACGCACATTCAATTTTTCTTTCGCAAAATCGCGACAATCCTTAATCAAATGATTTCTACGATTACAAAGAAGACATGATTTCTCAGTTTTTCGTTTCTTTGCTTGCGGTTGTTGATCATCATCGTTTTCATTAGTTTTATTATTAGTATCGATCAACAAAATATTTCTCGAATTGTCCCGATCGTTGTTATGCGGGCGTTTGTTTTGAGCAGATGCCGTTTTCAAAATAATTAAATTCTTTTTGATTCTCTTATTTGTCTCTTCGAAAATAAAATCAGACAATTTTTCCAAATCAGTTTTGTTTTCACAGTTTGTTGAATCAAGATGCGCGTAAATTGTTACAATTGAATCGGGCAATTTTCTAATTATGTTGTCAATAATTTCAGGATTTTGCAAGTAACCTTGCCAACCATTCAACCCTTTTATTGCCGAAATGGTGTTTCTCAAAATGGTCGCAAACTCAATCATTCGCGACTCATCTACGTTCAAGTTTGGTAATTTTCGAATGTCATCACACAATTTATCAAGAATCAACTTCGAATTCCCGAATCGCATTTCTAATGTTTGCATTATCAATTTCGTATCTTTGCAGGACATAAACAGAGATTTTACTGCTTCAAAAGCTTTATCTTTTAAGGCATCCGCGATACGAAGAACATTGTCTTCTTCGTTATAATTTCCCGTCGCAGTTGAAGTCTCAAAAGCATTTTTGAATCGCAACCATTCGAGTGGATCACCCTTGAAAACGGGCAACGATTTTGCAGAAGACATTCTACTCAAAAATGTTGAGCTTTCATTGCTCGCTATGGAATTGCGCGACATAATTGAATTTTCCAAAATATCAGCTAATCTATTTAATGGATCACTAGAATGGTTCTGATTCAACCTAACCCTATCGGGAATATCGCTAGTCGTGCTATGGAATCGATTGTCATAATTATTTACGTCTCTAAAGTTCGCGTCTTCATCGTTGTTGAAGTCCTCTTCCATGGATACGTCGAAAGGTTCATTGAGAGCGTAGTTGGGGTCGAGGTTCTCGTCGCCGTTGTCAGCTTGTGGTACGAAGTCGTAGTCAGACGCGTTGATGGGCGCTGCATCGACGACTCGACGTTGTACAGCTCGACGACGAGCGTTGGCGAGCGCAGCAACAGCTCGCACACGAGCGGCGGCGGCCCGGCGAGCAGCGCCAGCCCGCTCACGGGCGGCGACGGCGGGAGCCGGCGCAGCACCGACGCCCCGCCGAACAGCAATGGCCCGACCTCGGGCGGCGGCAGCAGGCGCGAGCGCGGCGGCCCGGCCACGAGCAGCAGCAGCAGCCCGCGCAGGGACGGCGGCAGCGGCCCGGCGACCAGCGTCAACCCGTTCACGAGCGGTGACGGCGGGAGCCGGCGCAGCATCGACGCCCCGCCGAACAGCAACGGCCCGACCTCGGGCGGCGGCAGCAGGCGCGAGCGCGGCGGCCCGGCCACGAGCAGCAGCAGCAGCCCGCGCAGGGACGGCGGCGGCGGCGGCTCGGCGACCAGCAACGGCCCGACCTCGGGCAACGATAGCAGGAAGAGCCGCGCCGCTCTCGCCGGCAGCACGCCGCCCCGGACCTGCGTCACGCCTTGGAGCCGCTCTCGAAGCGGCGGCCCGGACCCGAACTCGGCCTCGAGTTGCAGCAGGAAGACCGCCGACAACTCGTCGAGGCGCCGCCTCCCGGCCACGAGCAGGAAGATGTTCAGCGCCTCGGACACGAGCCCGGCCCCGAGCGCCAGCAGCTCGAGCAACTCCCGGTGCAGCCGCCATGACAACGCCACTGTCAACTTGACGATGAGCATCGTCGTCATAAGCGACCTCCTGCTCCTGACCTCCTCGACCGGCCATTCTTCACTGACACTTTTTTTTTTTTTTTTTTTTCAACGAAAATGCAAGAATTAAAAAAAAGAAAACTCGGAAACTTTCTTTATTCCCGGGTTTCGGCACCAAAATGTTTTCGACCAAGCTTTTTTAATTCTTAAAAGGAATAAAACTTCAGACAGTTTTCGTTTTATTTTTAAGCGTTTATTAGAGCAAAAGTCACAAGCGACCGCTCTCGACGCGAAAAAAAAAAAGCCAAGCGAGAAAAAAAAAAAAGGGGGGAGCGCAAGCTCGTGTGTCGTTTGTCCAGAAAAAAAAAAAAAAAAAAAAAAAAAAGGTAACAATTTCATCGCTATGACTACAAAAACAATTCATCACTATGACTAAAGAACAATTGCTCGCTCTTCGAAAAATCAAAACTTATATTAGCCTGTCGGTAAATCGCAAACTTCTTTATCCTATCGGTAACATACCTCTTTGTTCAATTACAAGCTTTGGTATCGAACAAACTTATAATCTTTGGTTATCGACTATTATGAAATAATTGGATATTCTTCCTCATAACTGTTCAAATAGTAATTTGAATATAAATCTCATGCGGAGTCATCTATTTTAATAACACGTTCCTTTTTCATTGAATGCTAATCTCTACTAGAATCTTATTTGCTGAGTTCAGTTATAAATACATATTCATGGCTATAAAAAAAGTTTGATAAGTTTCTTTTCTAAATAAGATTGTTTTGCGAAATTAAGTATTGTCAAATGAAAACAATAATTTCTTTATTAAAAATAAAATATTTTGGAAAGGTTCTAGATTAATTTGTATCTAAGCTATTTCAAAGTTTCCGTCAAACAACAAATCTTTTAATAGTCAAAGCCAGCTTGCAATGAAGTATAAAGATCGTTCATACTTTGACAAAAATGCGTACACGTTTGTTAAAATATATTTATAAAATCTGGATGGAGTTTCGACGACAAATACTTCTTACAGTCTTCGTTTGAAAAACGAACGTGAAAAATAACAAAGTTGATCCATAGAATCAATGGAAAAAAGAGGACAAAAAAAAGCCTTGGGTGTCACATATACGTGAGAGCTTAACCAATGCGAAGCATACTGAAAAGTATCCTGAGAATGCGCTGCACGTGCGCATAGTGCATTTTTACGTTTCACCGTGAAAGTGAATCATCAAATATTTTTTTCAAAACAATACTCACGCTCGCTATGAGAATTCCGCACTAGTACAGTTTTGATCAGACATCGTTATATTAATGGCTACTAATGGCAAATGTTACGTAAACAACAATGAAAGTGCGAAAAAGCTGAAAAATCTTTTATAAAAAATTATTTTAATTACGTTAATACTCTTATTCAAGAAGTAGTAGAATATGCATATATTACACAGTTAGCTATTTCTTTGATAACAATGCCGTTTGCTAATACAACAATGAAAGAACTCGTCCGTGGCCGACAGAATTATGTTATACTTATATATCTTCATACGTGGCCGCACGTTGTATTGCAGAGCGTTTTCTTTATGGGACCTCGAGCGCTTTGTATTGTACGTTTCATACAGAGCCTTCCTTTATATGTGCTTGATGTGGTATAACAGCTTCTGATTTTGGCGGCTATAGCAGGTAAATTTAATACAATTCGCGATTTTCAGTATTGTTATCACATTAACAGGTATTTCATGCAACTTTTCTCTAAAAATCATAAAATTCTGAATATTTCATTGTTAAAATGTTATCAAGTCTTGGTTGTATACGAAAAAGTGTTTTTAAATCTAACTGTATTTTGTTCTTTTATTTCCATGGGAAGATAAAACAAAGTATGTTTATGGATAGTTTATTAAACTGTTATTCTTTTAATTTCGTTCTAAAAAGGTGATATTTGTTGAAGCTGCAGGTAGAAAGCCATTTTGTTTTAGCCAAATCTGATATTTAATAGTACTTACTTGTTATTCCGTTGACTGTATTAATCAGTTTCAAAAAAAATTACAGTTTTTCAACAAAATTCTTTTTTTGAAGAAATTATAATCTAATTCACTTGAATCGCAATTGAAACTGAGCTTACACTCGACATCGATGACACAGTTTTTTATTCCTATAAAATATTTCTAAAGAGCATGGATACGAACCTTTTACATAAGCGTACACTTCATTCTCAGAATTTTCTCACTACTATTGAAATTCCAAGACGGTTGTTATGCAACAAATCACAAACGCCCTTGCGTTTCTATTTTTTTTGCTATTATGTATAGTCGTATTATGTACGTTAAGAACTGCGTGAATCAATCAGATTAAAAGTTAAGAGAATATATGAATCGTGCTTCTAAGGCATAGATAAATACATTCTGGATTTGAAGATAGAAACTTTCTTCAATTAATGCTGGTAAAATTATCTACTGATTACAATCATCTGAGAAAACGTTTTCATAATAAGCAGTGAAATCTTTCACTAAAGAACATAGCTATAAAAATCTAGCGTGTGATTAGTTATCAATGAGTTTGACATATCTATACGTACATACATGACCGTTTTCCGAAAATCAGCACTGTGACAATTTTCAGCCATTCTTATCAACGTTATACTTCTATTGCAAAACATTTTTTTTCAAAGTTGTAAAGTAAACGTACGTTTTGTAATGCATATTTATAAAATACACAAAACAACACCGGTTTGTATAATTTTACCTGAACAGCCTTGCATTTTATTTTCCGCATTTTGCAGTGAACGGAGTTTAAAAAAATTAAAAATGTGTGTGTAGTTGTACATAAGTAGATTAATGATTTAAAGTGACCAACTAAGTTACATCATACCTTCAATTTAGTTTTACTAAGAATTAACATAACTAGTTTTGTTGGTAGTGCAGTATCTTTATTGCGTGCTACTAAATTCTTTTTTGAGTTCTTTTTCTTTCTTTTGTAATAAAGTTTACGGTGTACAGTTAAAATTATGAAGTGCACGAAGAAGTTTCAGGAGGAATGAAAAAACCATCTCAAATTGTAATACTTTTGTACTATTAATAATTTACTAGTTTTTTTACTAATTTAATTTGTGTACGAATTAAGTAACAAATTTGTAACATTATTATCACCTGTATTAAATATTTGAACAATGTTCTATAAGTGCATCCTTTTAGTGTTCAAAAGTGAAAATACCTAAAAATAATTAATCTACTTTTAGGAAAGTAAAATGATAAAATAGATGCAAGAAGTACTGAAGTAGATATAGAACAAATTACAACATATTTCGAAATTCAATCATGTCGCAAATATATAGTTAGATTAATTATTTTCTATAACCAAACTGGAATAATTGAGAAGTCGTAAACTACCAGTTGAGAACTTGAACCAACGTCATTTTCACTATGAAAGAAAAAAATTAAAATGCAGTGCTCGTAGACACTGTAATTGAAACTAACGTTTACCTTAAAAGAAAATAGTATCAGATACGTAATATTTCCACGTTTTCTACAGTGAAAGTATACGGAGATAGCTATCACGATAAAATAAACAAAAATAATCTTATTACAAGTTATTTATGAAAGTGCAAGTGGAATAGCGACATAAGCCAAGTGTCTCTCAACGCTTAAGAACTGCATTCCGCAGCGATGGTTGTGCCGCGCTGCGGACTCACGAAGAGTGTGCGCGCCGCAAAACTTAAGCTCACGGACGCGCGCACGAAGCCGTGCTGCAACACGCGTTAAATTCGAAACTCGGAAAGAGATTTCGAAATCGCCTCGGGAGCACTGATGGCTAACGAATTCGCTAATTTTCCGTTGCTTGCGCCAAACTCGATGCCGTTAGCACACATACGCGTGCGCGCTTTGACTCCCGATGTGAAACTCTACCGATGAACTGTGTCGGCGCGTGTGTTGCCTGTACGAAAAAGAGCTGCTAAAAGAAACGTGTCCTGATTAAACGGATTAATCGGACATTCGTTTAGTCTTTGAATTTCTTCATATCTGTAATATTCTTTCATGATTCTCTTACTTAATAAGAATTCAAAAATTATAAAAATAGTAGTCACCCATTGAGTTAACAATGGTGAAGATTACAACAATTAAATTATTACGGACCAACATTTAAAATATATGTATCAAGTCGATGGTGATATTTTCAATCAAAAATATTCACAGCTCTACACTGTGAATATATACACGTGCACTCTTTAACATAGTGATTTAATCAAATAGCTAAACATAATATTTGTCGATCAGTATCGGTCAATCGGATGATTCCATCGTAATTTGAAAAGAAATAAGATTGATGGACTTATGGTCACGGAGCTTCTACTTTTTATAATTACTCGATAGCTAATTATGTAGGGCACAGGTAATTTCATTTTTATCTTATATTCCCACATCCTCTATTCGTTGGTTAATTTAAAAGTTTTGCACGGGAAAATGCCTGAAAAAATTGTCAAACATCGATTTTTAACCAATACTGTATTAGATCGTCTTTAATGTGAAGTAGTTAATTAAAAGATGTCATTATGTGTTGAATTTATTACGTAAAAATTTTGACACAGTTTGCTTAAAATGTGATAGTATACAATAGAAAATTCTTCAACGCATTATTGAACTGTTCTTAGCTGCACTGAAAAAAAAAATATGAAAAAATACGTAAATGACTTTGTCTTCGATCGTATCTATATTTAAAACGTTGAAGTCATATAAACAGCTTTTTCAAATATCTCTTTTGATAGCGTGGTTGTTTTCTATATTTCAAAGGTTGAAGCTATTCAGGCCAACCTTCTAAATTATGTACTTTTTGAGCAATTTTGAGATAACTCGTAAGGCTACTTACTGCAGTGACTCGGAAATGTTTTTTGCATCTCTGGGGAATCTATTACTAATTTATATTGAAGTTGATTCCATTTGGTGATATTTCCCAACTGGTTTAGCCATGTATACTTATCATTCATTCAGTCACGAAAGAGCGATGGGAATGAGAAAGGGAGGGAGACAGAGAAAGAACAAAAAAAAAGATACTACGCAGGAGAGAGAGAAAGAGAGAAAGAGACAGATAGACAGACAGAAATGGCGAGTGGGTCATTATTGAGATTTGTTCGAGGCGAATACTGTCGTCGGCAATGCGCGACTCCCGGAGAAAATCTTTCGGCATCGTCTCCTCGGCAATTCTCGAAAGTAAACTCGAGTAGAGTATATAAGTAGTATAGCATGGAGGGGCATTGCTGAGACATCGGAAACTCAAGGATTTCCTTGGGCTCTCCTCGCTACAAGGGCCAAGATTATATATACCTACCTTCTTCATATATACATATATATGTATAAATATATATTGAAAGTCACGTATACGGTTACTACTACAGTTCACGAGAAAGAGATATTTTCTAGCGTGCAGGCATCGCATTTGGCGTTTCGTATATTATAGCTAAACTTTCCTGTGTGCGCTTTAGAGGACATATTTATAAATTATTAGATGCTGTACGCTCAAGTAAACCGTATTGCGCACTTGCTATCGAAACAATTTCACGTAATTATTGTACGTCGTAGACGCATGTCAAAGTACTGTTAAAGTTTCTCATACTAATTTGATTTGGCGTACGCTAACCTTTATTTTTTAAGCGCTTTACTTTGCCGTGATATTGTTTCATTTTAAAAATGCGATTGACTTGTCAATGGAATTAATCGAATCAAGTTTTTTAGCGGGTATTTCTTTTAGCAGTTTCGATGCATTTGAAAATATTTTTTACGATGATTTATAAAAATATCAACTTCTCAAAACCTTTCAAGTATCGAATGTAAATTTATTTTTTAAGAAAACCCTCGCATTTATGTATTTTGAATGCGATTCATTAATAACACTGAAATAGTATTCCCACAATACCTGTTTATACGATATGAAGCAATCTCCACTTTATTCAAAATACATTTCCAAGGGCAATGTAACGTAACCATACCCTCGTGCTATCGCGCAAGTTTATCTTGGAAGAGCACATTTTGCTAGGATAATTTGAATGACAGAGCTGTCAGCCTTGTAACGAAAATAACATAATTATTGCGTTAGGAGCATATTTACGATTCTCACTTAACGTATTTATAAATGCATGCGTGACGTACGCGCTTGTAGTGAATCATTCCCACACCTTGTATAGTTTCATTCTTCACTTATTTCAAAGGAACTCAGTATTATTTGTGTTTTGACAGCTCTTTTCTTATTCTATAAAAATGTTGCAGAAGCTTTTGTGAATTTCAAAATGGAATTAGTTTTTGCTTGTGCTGCGTGGGGTAGCTAACTGTTGAACTTTTCATATTTTTACGGAAACATGACTTGAATAATCCAATAGCAAACATAAAGAATTCATATTATCTTTTATCTTTGACCATCCAGAAAAAAGGTAGAAATAAACATCGCGTTTGAGTTTAAGAATGACAAGGTTTTTCTTCACGGTCTGTATGCTTAAAAGATAAATCGGACGTGACTGAAGAAGCAAATAAAAAAGACCACGTACGCGATATATATGGCAGCACACCTTTGGGAAACTTACTTAGTAGCTTTAGAAAGGCGAGTGATTCCTTCCTCTACTGGCACCAACGCAGAAAAAGTTTACAGCCGTTCACCGGGAAAGAGAAAAACAGTCTTTTTTTCCGTTTGAGTGTTTCGACCCACGAACCGATGTTGTTGCGAACGGTACACAGTTCATTCCTCCCGAAACGATTCCTCGATATAAATGTTTCAACTTGTAGATGTAAATGTAGTTTAATACTCTACGCAGTTTATGTACATAAACGTAATGAAAAACACGCCTCTTTATCTCATTTAAATTCATATTTGAAAAAAAGTATCAATATTATATGTGTAATAGCAAAAGTTTTAGTTTTAATATAGGAAAACAAAAGCATAAAAAAAAGATTATCCAAATAAGTTTTCTTTCGGTAATTTTCCAATTTAACCATTAAGTGTTTTAAATTATAAAATATGTGTGTATGTGTGTATACATATTAGAGGAAATTAAATAATACTTATTATATTATTCATTTAATAAAGTTCATGCAATTAAAGTACTTAAACAGTAACGTATATCATTTTCACGTTATTTTCAATATTATTTTTTCGTGCTAAAATATATATATATACTCTGAATAAAGTTTTATTTTTATTTGTTTTATTCGATTCCAAAACATTTCAGTCTTGCAAAGTCTTGCAACTTTCTGATCAGTAATCTAATAATCCATTACGACACATAACACATGTTTATGCTTAGTAACAAAGTTGTCTTGCAAATGTGTATCACGTTGGAAAAACTGTGAGTAAATTAAAAAAAAAATTAAAGGATGATTAAAGTACTCTAAATTCATTGTACTAATGGCGACAATACAATTTGAAGCTTTTGCAGTAAACGAGTAAACGAGAAGAAAAGTCCGATAAATTATACTGACTAAAGTTTTATATTCCCTATATGCATGTTACCTACAAACCGGAGGATAAAAATGGAACAGCCGACATATATACGCACGTTTCAGCAATAAAAGTTTGAAAGAAAGAGAGTGTGCGACTAACGATAATTAGGCCGGTTACACGAGGAGATCGGGGTCAAATGAGCTTGCGATATTTTTGTATATGCTAGCGGCAAGTGCCCTTAACGAGGGCTTAATAAATTTCATGTTTGTAGTATCCTCTCTCTCTCTCTCTCTCTCTCTCTCTCTCTCGCTTCCCACATCCGCACGACCATGTAGTTCTCTATAACGTTGCGAAAAGCTCTTCTTGTTTTTATTTGCAACCACTGCCTCCCGAGCTCCGTGCGCTTGCTCCCCCACACATATATCAAATGATTCATAGCCCATTAAATACGTGTATTTTATAATTAAAACTAACTTTATGACTTATTATGAATATTCTAGAAATAGAATGAGTTTCCGGATGATTACTGCTATTTTTCTACACACTACAGCGAAATGTTTATAAACTAAAAATACGTTTTTTTACATTATATGTTTGAAACATTTTTATTTTTCGGTTTTCAGATAGTAAAACCGAGTTTAAAAGTGCACGAAGCAAGATGGACGCCGAAACAGGGGCCATCCTGGCCCTGCAAATCCTGGCGTTATGCTCGATCGTAGCAGCCTTGTTGGTCTATCTGATGCGTCAATCACACAACGCCAACGAGGAGTTCGAGATGCGCAGCAAACGTCACGTCCTCGTCACCAGCTGCGACACCTGTATTGGCCTTCAACTCGCCCTTGCTCTATCCGAAGCTGGCTATAAGGTATCATAATGCCAACGTTAATCTAGATACCACGTGTACATTCCGATTTTATGTCACCAAAGTGGCTTTTCGTGTCGTTTCCTAATAATTAGCAAGAAACGGCAGTATCAGCAGCTATACCTGTTCGAGTTACTTCGGATAATTGTTCTATTTCAAGTACTCTTATCTCTCTAATGGATAATCGTTACTACGCGAATCTCAATGTGTTTTTTTATAAAAGTTATTTAAAGTTATATTCGGAAAAAAAATTTATCTCCAGAAATACCTTTTTAAGTATACTTTTTTATCGATAAAAAAGACAATGAAGTAATGAAATCAAACACGGCGAAAAAAAAAATTCACGATTAAATTATTTTCACAATCGAACTTATCGAACGCGCTACCTGTTCAAATGAATGATAATTCGAAAGAAGAACAAAATGTGAACAACTTCCGAAGAAAGTTGAACGACGACGACGAGTAAGGTAGTAACTCGAGTGCTCGTTGGAAAAGAAATTTGTTCGTGGAGGGTGCTGAGCAAGAGCTTGGCTCGCTTATAATTTTGCCACTCCGTCTCAAAAGCGCGGACAATACGCGACCAGCGAGCGCAGGACGCTATACACCCTCGTAAAGTTTTACGGTGTAAGAGCTGTATATTGTAGCCTCGCAGGAGAAAGAGAGAGAGAGAGAGAGAGGAGCAATGATAATTTTTGTCGCGGCTGAATAACAATGAATGCCGTAAAGTTTTGCAAGGCGTTCCGCGGAGTAATTTTGTAGCGTCCCTTTATTTTTCGCCCTTCTTTTTTTCTTTGCGGTACGAGCACTTTTCTATTTTATTAATGAAAAGGCAGACAGAATTAAGCTAATGCCGTTAACGAGTAGCGGGTGCATCGGGGCGCGCAATTTCGAAATTGTACGTACTACTGTGAGGACGGCAGGCCTTACAGTATGCGTCTACTGAGCGAAAGGCTTTTGAGAGAGTAATAACTCGGCGCGTATGCATTTTTCAAAGCGTAATGAAAAGTAATCACGGGCTTTGATGCGTTGCCTGCCCGCGCGCACAGAGAGCCGCTCTGGCATTATTTTATACGCGAATGATAACCCAGAATTGAGAACGATAAAGCTTGCAACGCGTTCCGCTGTTATATATCTCGTTATTCCCTTCATATTATTAGCCGGATTTCAGAAGTACTCTCAAAGGTAATAACGAGTTTTTAAATAGGATGCAGATTGTACCGTCACTAAAATTACAAACATGCAGACTGTAGTACTATGTAATATGAGCTCTAATTTTCCTAGTACAGAAGTTATATTTTCATTCGTATACTTCGAGGACTTTCAATTTTTCAGATCTAACTTGGCTTCTGAGTAAAATTCTTCCCCGATAAGGTATGGAATGCTAGATTGAATATTTATTGAATTGCAAGTCTGTTATATATTTCACAAATTTCAAAAAATTTATATTTTAATCAAGGATATTTTCTCTTTTATTTAAAGAGCTCATAAAGACATATTTTTTCGTTGTAAATTAAAATTTAATTGTGTGTGAAAGGTAGTATAAAAATTATAACGTATGAACATTCCAGCTCTTTGTTATTACTTCTTGAGCAGTAATTAAAGTCGATACGATATGAAAAGTTTTCTTTGATATTTATTATAATGAATAAGTAATTAGATCTATTTACTTTTCGTCTATCTATTTTTATTTTGGGAAACATAGTTCTCCGGTCCTCTTTATAAGCAAAGAGTTAACAACGAGAACAACCTATACGTTCGACTCTTGTTCTCATTGCCAACGTCTTCACCTGAAAAGGGTTGAAGAACTATGTTACTCAGAATAAAAATGGATTTATGGAATGTCAGTAGTTTTAATTATTTATTATTTAATCGATCATTATTAGCTGATACTTTACTTTTATTATATAATTACCAAAAATAGACCCAATGAGACAGCTTCCAATATTTTTATTAGTACATTTATTTACCAAATCATTTTTCTTAACATACTTATTTCTTAGTCGACAAAATGATAGTATTGTATATATTTTTATATTATTATAATACACTTAATATTACAACTCTTGTGTTCACTGACATATTAACTGCTTTAATCAATATTTACGATCACAATACATTACAAGTATTTACGACAAATCATTGTAATGAATTCATCAAATTCAAATTAAGCACCACTGTTTGAGTGTAACATGTCTATGGAACTATTGGCTGTCAGAATTATTTTATTTTTACAATAAATTCACTATAATATTTCTTGTATTAATAGGTATTTGCCGGACTACTGGATCCGTCGGGAAACTCACATGCAACGAGGATCTTGCGTGCAATGGAACAGCAGAGAACAAGGCCCAAAGAGCTATCGGCAGACGAAGAACTAGAAACGCGTCACAACCCTGGTCAGATTGTGCCAGTAGAGCTTGATTCGACTCGCGAAGATAGTTTGCGCGATTGTCTTGATGCAGTTAGAGCTAAACTGCCAGCTGGCGAAGATGGTTAGTGTAATTAAATTTTATTTTTGATGATTACGAAGCAATTTCTTATAATATTTTAGTCCAGTTTTATAAAGATGAAAATAGATTATCTACTATTTTACAAATATTAAAATAAATTTTGGAAGATCAGTTAAAAAATTTGTTTGTGTATTATAATAAATATTGCTAAGGATATGATGATAAAAAAACTGAATGAAAATTCCTCAAAATGCGAATTCTATTCATAATTTTCTAGAAAATATGAAAATGCTCAGAGTGATAGAGTTACAAAATTACAGCAAGCATACAAGATTAAACAGTAAAGCTCGAAGCGTTTAGTGGCTAACTTGGATTCTACGCGTATTTTTGTAACAAAAACTTTAAACTCATCGTAGCCTGCATGCATGTAGTAAGGAACTCAATTATTTACAACTGCTCGAGACCGTTGGGTTTGATCAAAGCATTCTGCGGTGAACGCCGTAAATCGTCGAGTCTACGCTCGCGCTCGCGAGCTTACCCCGTTGAACTAATAACCTTAGTTCCAATCGCTTTCCAAGCCGTGAACCAACTTTCACGCAAACTATGAACGCGATTTGCTATGTGCAAAAGGGGCAAAGCTGGTGTAGCGAATTAACCCTTGAACGGCCGCTTAATCGCGGCTTTCAATCAACTTTCAACCACATTGAGCAGAAAGAGAAATTTTGGTTTAGGATTCTGATCGTGGATGTGAAGTGGAACTTTTCTTGATGATAATCTTAAGAAGTCTATGTTCAACTTTCAATAAAATATTATTATGCATGCATTTATATAGAATTACTTATCTTTGTAGGATTATGGGCAGTGGTGCACACCGGTGGGTTAGCTCTTCCTGGTGTCATCGAAAGGCAAGCAAGTGCAGCTTGGGAGTCCATGTTACGTCATAACTTAGTGGCACCTTTGCGAGCTGCTCGAGTATTTATTCCGCTTTTAAGGGCGAAGCGAGGTCACTGTTTTATTTTAATACTTGTTGAATAATAATTTTTGTTAAATGTCGTCGTCAGTTATTTTTATTTTTATTAAATTAGTCAATTTTATAGCATTTTTACTAGTATTACATGCTTGTAAATAAATTTTGAAAAATAATATCAGATACATAAAAGATATTTTCAAAAACATAAACAATTTACCAAACACGCTATCTCACTGTCGATTTTCAAATCACTTAAAAGCAAAAACAAGTGAATATAATATAATGACATACCGACCGAACATTTCTCAAATTTCATAAGAAACTTTATACACAAAAATGTATCCATATGAAATATATTAATTTATTTGCTAATTTTAGGTCGCATAATCTTACTGGGAGACTCAGATATCAGTTTTGGCGCTAAGGCTGGCGCGGGCTTGGTCGCCTTTAGCGCATCGCGCAAGGCCGTCGAGGGTGCAGCTGAAGCTCTTAGGGCTGAGCTACTTGCATCTGGCGTTGACGTTGTTTTACTCAAACCACCGCCAATCAATCCTCTTGCTCTTTATTCAGCGCCTGTGCTCAAAACGTATGCGTGAAAAACATATTTTTTATCTCAGAATTCTTTTTGTTTCTTATTAATTCAACTCAATTCATAATTGCATTACATTTATGAAGAATGATCAAGCGCTATATAAAGAACTGATTTTATTAAAAGAATTTGGTGCTAAGCCCATTAGATATGATCCAAAAATGACTGAAGATATATATATATATATATATATCTTCAGTGCGTGTACAATAAAACAACACGATAATGTGTGTGTGTATAAGTCCAATGTTTCACTTTTGCGTATTCTTTTATTTTCTTTTACCACGTTCAGTTGCTAAATTTCGTTAATGTAAACCATGTTGTTTTATTATACATGCACTGAAGAGATTGTATCTATGCATTGCTATAAAGTTGGGTAAATTATTTCATTAAAACTGATTAAAGGATATATTTATTGAATGCAGTAATAATATTTACTCAGTAACAGAAGGTAACTCAATAAACTCGATAAAGTGTAAAACTTACACATCACAAAAGTAAGGTATGTTCGTCCATTCGTACAAGCTAAATTCAATGTAAATATTGCAGATCTGACGTGGAGACAGGTGTGACGTCGGCGGAAGGAACTTGGGTTGCACCCTTGTCAGCTTTGGCAGTCAAGTCTTCTCTGATACCTGCGCTTACATCCACCTGCCCGTACAAATCCTATAATATGGACAAAAAGTCACGAATTTTTTGTCAATAAAGCTGATTACAAAGAAGAACTATTCTCTTTTAACGCCATGTATTATTGAATATAGTGATCGCGTGATAATTATATGTAACTGTTTGTAACATATGTAATTATGTATAAAATACTTTTTTACCTAATATTCATTAATATTTTTGTTGGTTTAACTGTTGTATAATATAAATAATACTAATATTATTATAACAAAATAATCTTAGCATTTTTTTATTTGTCCAGAATATGACCATGTAAAAATTGAGGCAACTGATCAAATTCTAAAAAATTAGTAATTATGAACTATAATAGAAACGAATTTCTAGATTTTTAAATTTATTTTTTAGTTTGATTTTATATAAATATATGAATATTTTTTATGACACATTGTTGTATCCATCTATAAGATAAAACTATTATACTAGATTTCTAAAATTGAAAATAAAGGCGAAATTAACAGGAGAATCCTTGAAATATTTCATTATATTGTATAATGTATAAGGTATTTTGAAGTTTAAATTACATAAAAACCAGTAGAAAAAACGGAATTTTCAAATTCATAAGACCTGTATGTACATTAGGGTTTGATTTGAGTTAGTGTAGATCCAATGAAAGAAATAATAATGTAAAATTCAGTATTTTGCCTAGAGGCTAATAAACTGAAAAATAAATAATCAAATCATGAAAATAGTAAAATATAACTCATAAATTACATTATTATTATATATATTTTATTTTCGAATTAAAGCAAGGGTATTTATATTTTTTAAATTAGTTTTTAGCTTTTTTGTTCAGTTTTTATTCAGTTTTTACATAAGTCAGTAAATATACTTGGATTTTGGGTTAAGAACTCTATTATTAATATTTCCAATCACTTTGTGTCTGCCAAATCAATGTTATTTTGGGACTTTGTGAGCACAGAACGAGTATTCATTCTAGCGTAATTGTAAATGAAATGAGACTCACTACGAAGCTTAACTTGTCGAACGAGACTACTTCAGACGTGTTTTAATTGAACTCTATACATACTGGTGAGTTTTTATTTAGAATTTAGGTATTTTTACTTTTTTCAATACAGGTAGACAACAAATTGATTTGTGACCCTCCTTGGCCTTGGATCTTGATCTGTTAAGAGTCTATTGACAGAAACATATAGTAATATTATTTATTATCGATAAGTAATAATATATTTATATCACGATAAAATTTAGAAAGTTCAAGATTGTAGCCGATAAAATATAACGAATAAATTGGTTTTCTTTTATTGAAAAAATAAATTAACTATATAAGAGTAATAATTAGTTAATATTGAAAAATATAGCAATTGAATTTAGAAAGTAAAACTATTGGCGAAACCTAGAAAATTGAAAACTTGAGCTTCTATTAATGCAAATTTTTATATCACATGCCCTCAGTGGATTATTTTTCTAACAACACCTAAACTTTGGCGGATGCGTTCATTTCACCAGTAATTATTTATAATTATGCATGAAGATAACCATCTTCTATGTAATCTATAGTGAATAATAAAGTAGGTAATCTAAGGAAATTGCAGCAGGATTATTCATTTTTATGTTACGGTATTTATGAAATCAATATATTAAACTTATATGCTATCTTATTTACTTTCCTTTTCGGTTTTTTTGATCATTGTAATTGTTATCTTGCTTGATATAAATGTAGATATGAGTAACATGAAAAGATTATGCCGAAAAAGGAAATGACTTTGTTAAACGAGCTTCTATAAAAAGTTCCAGGCATAGAATTTTCTTTTTGAACGTATAATGGAGTGAGTACATATAAAGTGACGACAATCAACAATACTTATCCGGTCACTATTTTACTTTCTCTTTAATATACTTATACAAATAATAGAGCAAAAAGTCCTTTGTTTACGCAATATTGGATTATGACACTCGAATATTCGAAGTCTATTTCTTGTATAAAACATACTTTTTCAATCCTTTGATAAGCGAGAAGTCTATTCAAATAATTGGATAATAACCGATTTTGAAATAAATCGATATAATGATAAAATCTGTAGAACAGATTTTGTACGAAATTTGAACGAAGCAAAACAAATTTGTATTTTCAAAAATATTTAGAGCTATTTTTCTCCAAATGATTGATAGATAAAAAAAAATATTTATAATTTACTTAATAATATTGCTACTTTTTTTTCAAAACAAATACAGGTTTTGTTATTGCATATTAATTAGAACGTATCCATTTTATTCTGAAATATCGTATGGCCCAACGAACGCGAAACTTATTACTACTGCGAAATGAGTTACCAACAAAGTCGTTATTCTCAATTTGTAAAGAGCTCTTTACCAAAAGTCATAATCTATTGGTAAATTTCCGCTTCAGTTCTCTATAAACGCTCATTAGCTTGACTTATATAAAACACTGTCATTGCTGACAACCCTTAGTTGAGCTTTGGTTCTTTAAATAGTAAGATCTATCATGGATAAGGTGAGATAAGATATGATTTTTAGTTCGTTATTACTTAATTTTTGACTAAAAGTTATCAAAAGTAATGTATACTGCACAATTAATTTTACACATGAGTACCAATATATTTTACGTCTTATCGACAATCAAGTTCGACGTAATTTCACAAAATAAATATACACAATACGCGATGTAAAAGATTTACTAGTAAAAATAATATTTTATGTAGAAACACAGAGACGAATGGAGCTACGTTTGAATTACTATTCAGAACTGTACAAATTTATGATATTTTTTTTTAAGTTTCAAAGTAAATTTTGCCAATGTGTCAAAAAAGAAAGCAGCGCAAGCTAAATAGACAAATACACACGGTTTAACTTATACAAACAGTGGAATGTTACGCAAGTGTCGTAAAATATACGAAAAAACCGTGTCCTATTTCACATATACCTGTATACAGACAAGAGAGCACATGGCGGTGGTTTCAGGGACAACCGAGTTATCCTTTACGAGTGCAATGAAAGTGCCTGTACGCCAATTCGTTACGGCATGTACCTACTCATACGAATGAAATATGCGGCACAGATACTCTTTTTATCATTCGTGCTTTTTCCGTTTTTTTACGCGGATGGAGAGTATCGGTAAACTTGTATCTATGTACAAGTCGCTAATTCAATTCTTTGATATACTTTTCCAATCAACTTTAAGGTAAGTGCACTGGTTACCATCATATTAAATGTGTTTTGACTTCAGTTAATCATAATAAATACATCAAACGTCTATAGTACTTAAATCTACATTATCACAATTTTTAGAAAACATTGAATAGTTCAATGAAACGATAACTTTTTGCGTGTTCGATCGATTCCATAATTATTTTTTTAAATATAATACAGAAATTTTGAATTCGCCTGTATAGGATCACTCTTTCTATTATTTCGATATTAGAAGTAGTCGGGTATAGAGCGGGGGGGCGGTGGTCGGGCACTGGTGCACATACCTTACTATTGTCTTTTTCAGTAACAATGAAAATTAATAAAAATGTTTTTCTGAGCTGTTCATTTTCATTTTATTCATGCATATACATTTTTCATAATATTATTTGGAATATGATATTCCTTTCAGATACTCTTTGTCTGCTTTGCAGTAGCATGCGTGTGCGTTGGTGCCAGTCCTGACGAAGGTTTAAAAACTCTACAATTTTCTTAATTAAAGCTAATTTTATAATTAGATGCATATCTGCACAGTGAAACGAGTACTTTCAAATAATTACTTTATATGCATTTCAAACACGTAACATTATTAAATTTTTTATGAGATGCACAATATTCGAATCTTGGTTTACCCATGTAATATTAATAATTATGAGGTTTTGTTAAAATTTAATTCAGTCACAGTAAATCGTAAATTCAAATATTATTGCTCAATTAATTTAATTGAATTTTCAAGGTAATTCATTATATTTATTTAAGTACAAAATTATTTTATTCTTGATAAATTGTTCGAGTTCATTAAAAATCCTTTCAATTAAAATCCATCATAAACACTGTTTTTTTATTAAGTCCGAAATTGCTAAATTAAAACTATTATTTCAATAGTAATGAACTATCGAGATGTATTTAATTCAATCATAGATATCGAAAAAGAAAGCCACTATCATCATTTACTAGGAAGCGAAGAAGGAAGCCACTATAATCATGCACTAGGTAGCGAAGAAGGAAGCCACTACCATCATGCACTAGATAGCGAAGAACGAATCCACTATCATCATGGAATAGGTAGCGAAGAGCAAAGCCATTATAATCACGCAATAGATAGCGAAGAACAAAGCCACCATCGTCATGCAATAGGCAGCGAAGAACGAAGCCACCATCATCATGGAATAGGTAGCGAAGAACGGAAACATCATCATCATAAGGCTTATTCTTTTATGCATTTCCATGGACCGGTTCACGGTCATCATAAGAAGGTAACTTGGAAAGATAAGCATTGGCACAAGCATCACGACTTTGTGGCTCACCCAAAATACAAGTTTAGCTACGGTGTTAAAGATCATCATACTCACGATTTTCATGGACAAACGGAATATCGAGATGGTTTTAAATTTAATTATTAATTATGAAACGATACAATTTGCAGTAGAAGGCTCATTTTGAAATACTTTTAGGTAAAAAGTTACACGGAGAGTACCATATCCACGAACCTGGCGGTAATATGAGGACCGTCAAATATTACGCTGACCCACACGGAGGTTTTTTCGCTCATGTTCATAACCACGGTGGGAACGATCATTCTGGCTACGGTCGTCGATGAAGACTCGCAGTTTCAATTATAGAAGAATATAACGATAACATTTATTTTGAAACTCAGTTTATTCGAAAATATTTAATAAATCAAAAGCTATTTCATAAACAGCATGATTTTTTTACTTGTAAATTCTGTAAATAACATGTGGATGTAAAACTAGTTTTGATAACTATATTGCCACCGATTTATCAGTTCTAGCAAATATAAGGAAAAAAGCTACTACAATTTATAAAAAATGAATTCAAAGGAGACTGAAAAGTTAGCACTCATATTCAGCTTTTTTGAGAAAATCTATTAAATTCAAATAACAATGCCGCAGTAAACAATGAAAATAGAGGAGAGGATACACGGGGTGAAGGGAAAAGAATGCACGAACAATTTATTAGGTTTAATTATTCAACTAATGGGTTGGTTTTATATATTTTTTTGTCGTGGCAATCATTAGGTCATCTTATAAATCTTGGTCTATTTAGAATTTTCTATTTTGTTAGATTTTAATATTTTTTACGAGCCTTCAAAAGTGAATACTGGTGCCCACTGCATTAATTAGTGGCAGCAAGCCTTTATAACAGGCAAACCATTTTTTATGTTTAATTGATTGTATAGTCGATCTTCGTACAATGTCGTTGTGGGTGCTGTTAGGTTGAAAAATTAATTAACTATTGGCATATTGATAACATTCTTTTTATCCAATAATAACTTAGCTTGACTCTAATTTAGGTGATGGGGCGGAATAAAATATGTATTAGTGTATTGAAAACGTATTTTGATTTTTAAAGGGATTAATGGTGGAAATAAATAACCAGGAGAAAAATAGTTGCTTATTTGATGAACTATTTAATTGAATAATTTGTTTATCGATTTTCTCAAAAGAAAATGAATCTGGGCTCTAATTTTTAAGACTTGATTGAAGGTGCAGCGCCAAAGTAGCAAGAGAGAGAGAGAGAGAGAGAGAGAGAGAGAGAGAGAGAGAGAGAGAGAGAGAGAGAGAGAGAGAGAAGACAGGGAAATTAGATTTCTCCAGCTCGCAATTTCTGTCGTAAACGTAGCGTCTTCGTGGCGTTAACGAACTCATCTTTCCTTGGAGAACTCGTGCCCCCGCGCTTTAGTTTGCTGCCGTACGGTTTCAGCTGCTACTTCGAGTTCTCGTCAGATATCTTCTCTCTCTCTCTCTCTCTCTCTCTCTCTCTCTCTCTCTCTCTCTCTCTCTCTCTCTCTCTCTCTCTCTCTCTCTCACTCGACAGAAGCTTCGGCATTTCTCTCGCTAATTGCTTCGTTCAATGAAGTCGTTTCCAAAAGTAAATACTTGACTGCTGTACTGCATCTATACGCTATAGCAAGAGCCATGAGAAAATCAAGAGGGATCTGTGTTACAAGTAAGGGAGAGAGAGAGAGTTTGCCTCGCTTGTACAACGCGCTCCGTCAGTCACGTAGTTACTATGATTTTTTCCTCGTTTTCTTTTTTGATCGATTATCTGTTGAAACTTGTTTCGTTAAACAAATAAAGTTCATTCTAAAATTTTGAAAATCATGAGGCGTGATTTCATTAATAAAGATAATTTCTCATATTTTGTGAGCTATTCGTAAACGAATTAACGGCATTTAATTAAATAACGATTTTTACAGTGCCATTTAAATTTTTGTTTAGTTAATAAATAACATGATTTACAGTGTTTTCCCCATCAACTACCTTGTTTAAACTCCTTTGAAATTGAAGGTTACATAGAACTGTAATATTATTATGTAAATAAATCTTGATAGAGGTACTCGACGTAATCGTCTACTTGAGTTTCACCCATTCGAGTACGAGGAAAACGCAACCTCGGATTTCCTTTGAAGACACTCATGTAGCAAGTATTTGCTAAAATCTCGCTGTATATGAGGGAGTTATACAAGATATTGGTTCCGACTTAATTAGGCCTTAACTCGAGGTAAAATGTTCAGTAAATTTCTTTGAGTCTCGACGATGTTGAAGACGCAGACGACAACTAGAGTTATAGTGCTTGCCGAGTGTGGTTTTATTATGCGATAATTAAACCAATTGAGACTGCGACTTGAAGCGAAATATTACAATTTCTCGAGATTAATTAACGTGTCAGTGATTAACTGCGCTAAGCTTGTTTGCTCTAGATTCTTTGATGTAATAAAGTCGAGTCATCAAAGCAAAAATTCGTTTTGATGTAATCAAATGCTACAAATAATGCTTCTTGGTAGCTTCAGTTAAGCAGCTTATCAACAAATACGACACATTGTATATATTTCAATGCATATATTTCAGTGTTAAAAAACATTGTTTTAAAAGCGTTAAAAAATTTTTTCATTAAGCAATAAACTACAAATTCAGAATCAACATACTTACCTGTTACGTATCCAGCACTAAACAATCGATAAAATACGTACGGCTAGAAAATATTCACGTAGTCATAATCAACCACACCGTTGTTGTTTGCCCGACCCGTTCAAATATCCCGATATTGCATGCTAAAATACCCAAACTTATCAGCATAACGAGGTGGTCGTTGATTAAAGTGTCTATGTGCACATGCCTTGTCACGATCAGAGCGTAGCGAAATTGGTCACCGTGCGTCTTTTTGTCAACGGTTGCCTGCGCAGCATACGCCTTCGAAATTTCGCAAAACACTGTCACTGCCATTGGATATATAAGCACCTGCAGTTCGATACATAACATAGTGTCAAGTTGGCTTGTTGTCCGTAGTTTAATGAACTATTATCAGTTGAGATATGGATTATAAGGTTTGTTTGCATACTCGATTTCTTTACCACGGATGTTTAGATACATTAAATAATTATAACATTATATTTTATATAACTATCTATCATAGTAATACGAGGGAGCTTTGGTTAGTTCAAAAGGTGTTTGATATAATTTAAGCGCTTCCTTACAGAAAGAATTCACCATATCTTTTGATATTATTTAATAGTATTTCCATAAAAAATTTAAGTATGATAATGAGTATGATAATCTATATATAAAATGAGACAATAAATAAGTGTGTTTATCATTATGGAAATTAACAAAGTATAAAACATAATACTTCAGTGAGTATTGTTTTTATTTTTGACTTATATGTGTATTATATTTTATAAATTTTGGTTTTATTGTATAAAAAAAAATGCTAATTAGTTAAAAAAAATGTCGAATTATGAATTTCTAAATTAATGATAAGTTCTAAGTTGCTTCTCGAAAAAGTTTCGTCAGTAGCCAGTCCATATTCTGGAAAAATCTTTAAAAATTTTATCTATCATGTCCTATATTTCGGCCAGATTGCTTACGTACATGTGAATGTAGCTACATATTTCTAAAGCTTCCTTGGTAGATCCTTTTTAAGCTAAATATATGTCAATATATTAAATATACTGTAGTATACAGTATATTGCTAAATATAATCAGTATACATATATCTTTCTGAAGTGTCCGTAAAAAGTCCTTCTTTCTGAAGGATGCCTTTAGAAAAATTCATGATGAAATGAATTGTGGATGAACGAGGTATAAAATAAAGTCATATGTGAAAAGCAAAACGTTTCGCGATTATATTATTTTCCTTTGATAATGAAATCGTATACATTATTCTTGAAAATTTCTATTAATTGAAATTGCATTACAGTGTTTTGTGGTATTATCAGCAGTAACGTGGCTAGCATTAGCAGGAAAAACGTCAGCGGGTCATGCACATAGTTTTTCTCATTTCCACGGCCCAGTAGAAGGTCCGGGACACGAAGTTACAATTCATGACAAACATGGTCATCACACAATCGATTATGTTGCGCATCCTAAGTACGATTTTGCTTATGGAGTAGAAGATCATCATACCGGAGATTTTCATGGCCAGAAAGAGCATCGCGACGGTGAGTAATTTTAGAACAGTCAAATAATCAGATACTAAAATGGAATTCTAGGAATTCTATGAATTAGCAAAAAAAAAAAAAAAAAAAAAGAAATTTTAACGTTAATCTCTTGATTGCATTCTTTCGTTTCACTAAAACTAAATTTTATCAAACATAGTTTTCGCAAGCCGTAGGTTTTTCAGTTTCACGATTGCTCGAAGTTTTTAGTCAAAAAGGTCAATGTTTGTCTTGCTGAAAAGCAACCAAAGTCATAAATTGAATATACAATCGAAAATGCTATAACTTCGCTGTTATTACAATAATTGTAAAAATGACAACAATCTTGAATTATTTTTGCAATACGTTCAGTTAGTTAGTGGAAATCGAGTAAATTGGCTTGATAATAATTACGTTGAGTGGTCTCAGCGAACATGAAATATTTTATAAAATATACAGCTTTTTAATGTTTCGATTAAACGGAAATTGATGAGAGGCAAAGAAATGCTTTCAATTTATTTTCTTGATTATTTTCAAAAACAAACGGGAGCCAGCGTTGACCGTTGCTAATGAAAAGCCCGGGAGTGTTGACGACAGTTTAAATTTCAACGAGCAATATGATTACTGTCCCATCGATTGCTTCATGAATATGCAATTGCATTAATGGTGACGCTTGATTAGACACTGACTCGATGCCGTATTTGCATAATATAGTTACGCAGTCGCCGTTAAAACATTGCAATTGAAGAGAAAAAAATATAGGAAAGTACGTCATTTTTCAAAGGACTTTTTTTCAACGATTTTTTCCTGATGCGTTTTTTCTTTCGTTTATTTATTAAAATCTTTGGATTGATACAGAATTCACTGACCTAGTTTTTTTGTTATTCAGATGTGCACAAAACATCTTGCAAGTAAATAAGTAAATATAATGTGCAATTGAAAATCTGAATACCAAAGCTCATAAATTTATATATAATATGTAATTGCAGGTAAACACGTGTCGGGTGAATACACAATCAAAGAGCCTGGTGGCAATGTGCGCACTGTCAAATACCATGCTGACCCTCACGGTGGTTTCTTCGCCCACGTACACAATAGTGGTGGTAATGATCATTCCGGTGGTACATACGGTGGCCACGGACATGAACATCACGGTCACAGCTATTACTGAGATGAGCTTTATCGTTCTACTCTCATTATGCCTACTAAGTCTTGTTTATATTAAAGACTTATATACAACCATCACTGTTTCCGTTGCAAAAATTTATATCATAAACTTATCATTTTTGTATTATAGATTGTTAAATAAAATTTAGGTATAAGTTGATGCTTGAATCTTGAGCTTGTGAAATTAATTTTTTTTATAATTCCTAAAACTTCATTATTGTAATTATTTTTTTATTCTTTAGCTAGAAATATTATCATATAAATGCGCAGACTTTTTTTTATTCACATTCAAATGAATCACGCAGTGTTCGCGGGTTTTTATTGAAATATTGACATGTTTATATGAAGCGATTGATATTTAGATTTTGAAAAGGCAGTAAAATAAGCAAGGATGTAGTCAGTCTTTGTATAGATATTACCTCATGTTCACACTCATTCATGGAGTAGGAATTATATTTAAATATAGTGTAACAGTTCAGTCTGATTTTTTCTTTGATGCACAACGGCAACCCGCTATACACTCGAAAATAAGGTAAAGTGCTATCAAAACTGAGGCGCTACCTCACATATACATTTCGATGTATTAAAGTATTTGATCCAAATCATTACCACATAAGGAGCGTGATGTCACATCTATGCGAAATCTATTGTTTTCTATACGAAATTTGTAATTTTAAGCTTTTTCAATGAACAAAAGCATTTTTAATTAATTGCAATGCTCTGATTACAAATATAAACTTGATGGATATGAATTAATTAATAGTTAGTGAAATTTAATTTACGAATTCGTAATTTAATTATTATTCAAATTCTATTTGTTAAATCGACAAAGTTGATCTTGAATAAGATTCTATACATCATAAATTATTTTTTTTTGTGTAAAAATATCGTATGATTTCATCGCAAAATTCTTCCTATTCATTTATTCAACTTTATTTGTTTATAACTTTGTAAGGCGATTTTTTCACGATAAGCAATTAATATAATAAAATTATGAGCCTTGAATTCAATTCTTCACATTTTGTTCAAAATTTGTGTAAATTTGCGAAAACAGTGTTGTGGGGGCAACCCAACCCAGCGTAAAAAGGGACCTCTACCACGAGTATAAATTCGGATGTCGTTGCGGCAAAGAGGATCCTTGTCCAACCTTACCTATCAGCGCGAGTACTGTACAGAGTAAATAAAATCTCAGCCCTGAGATACGTTTCATTTATTCAGTGGTTAGCCTTGCTATCCTCCATTCCTAAATGATAGTCTAGGAACTCAACTCATAAGATGCCGATATTTATTTATGATATTTTTTATATGAGAAAAAAGCGACCTCAGCCAATCTCCTCTTCTTATTATATTATTGTAGCTAGACAATGCCTAGTAGGATTTCAAACTACGCTTCGAGGTAGCAAACCATGTCAACTTAGACTCTGTTCGCTACTCGATGAATAAAATCTCGAGTTGTTATTGAGATTGGCTTACTCTCTGTTACGCAGTCATTGAGGAGTGTTATCCTCGCGGCTTCGACTCTGAGTATCGAATCTCCGACGGTTTCAGTAAAGATGGTCAACGTTTGTGTAAGAATGCGTCAATCTATACCAATAAACCCTTTAACATTTATTATTCTTATTATTTATTTGTTGAAATTCTTACTTGCTTTCGGAAATGTAATTTGTAAAATTATCTTAAGATCGAACGTAATTTTTATAACGTATTATTGTAATATCATTACAATAGATTAAATAAATATAACGGGAAAGTGTCGAAAGTTTCGTCCTATGTCTGCTCATCAAACTCATCAGCATGACTCTGACGAGCAAACTGCTGTGGATACCGACATAGCGATTAATTTAAGTGTTTTAATTTTCGTGATTCATAAATGAACAAATAGAAAAGGTCTCACGTCCGTCACTGACTCGATTCGCTGCTTTCTCCGGGTTCCTTCTCGTTACGCCGTTATTGCACGAAAAAAAAAGGCGTGTTATCGAATTTTCCTTTTCCCAGGAAACCATCCTTTATCAAGGGCCGTAGGCGCGGCTTTTACTGATCCGTTCATGTCGCTTTTCGTCGCTTTTCAGCACAAGGACGACTTGGTATTTCCGTGCATTATTCAAATTACACTTTGTCTTAATGTTTGTTATTTTCTTTCAATGTGGATTTGTAACACATCGCGATTAATCAAAGTCATGATAGAATATAATCAACTTAATCAACGAAAAGAGTCTAATCAATAGTAAACTCAAGATTAGCTCTGCCCATCTGTGCGAGAAAAAAGTAAAATATAGATTAGCAGAATTAGGAGTTGAAAAAGAAACAGGTAGCAATAAGACAACGAATTAAGACGGATAAGTTGATAAGAAGGACAAGTTTAAAAGGAAGAACTAGAGAAAAAGAGAAAGATATTTCGTCGAGTTGTCGTCATTCACGCTGGGGCTGAACATATTGGGTCACGTATTTATACCGGGTGTCAGGCCTCGGGTATTGAGAAAACACAAATTGGATTTGGAGCACGCGCACGGGTGAGCGTTCGCATGCCGGCCATTTTGACCCTGAATCACTCCTTCTTATTGCATTACGCAGCCCATTCACGAAGAGGGACACACTTCGTCAATATCAGTTCATATCCCCGATGGACCTGATTGGAATATAAAGCGCTAGGATAATCCATTTGCCAGTCGAGCTTTCTCTCTCTCTCTCTCTCTCTCTCTCTCTCTCTCTCTCTCTCTCTTCTCGGAAGCCAGTATGTACAAGAAAGACTTGATTATCGCGATTTTTATTTGCTTTACGCATATTGACACACACAGCCTATGTCCTGATCAGACTGCATTCAGTTCGGATTTTTTCTAATTTTAGGTTTTCCTCTATTTCATGTCTCTGCAGTTGGTTATAAGTAAAGACAGCAAATGTTTTAATAAATTTACCAAATAAATATTAACATACTAGATGATAAACGATCAAATAAGGAATTCTAAATTAAACAATGTTTTCCATTGAATAATATTACTTTTTCAAACAGTTATTTTAAATAACCATTGATAATTAGCTGGACCATATAAAGAGAAACAAAAAGCTTTTGTTGGCATAATAAAAGATCTATATTACATAAAATACACTCTATTTTTCAGCACATAATTGAAATTTATATAGACTGTAGCAGATTTATTATTAAAAGCTGGCGTACTTGAGATGAGTTTGTGAAACACACGATTACGTTTTTGAACTAGTAGAAAATCAATAATTTAGTATCTTTTCGACAAATAATTTAGGTAAAGACACTTAAAGTGATGTCATTCAATTATGAGAGGCGAAGGAGCCGTCGTCATAAACAGACTGTCTTCTCTTCTATATTTTTCTCGTTAGCACGCGAAATGACTATGCGACAAATGTAATAAATGAAAGAAGAGAAAGAGAGACGTCTCTTTTACGCCTCTCTCACTACGCACCGGCTGCAGCTCCAGAAAAACAGGGGAGAGATAGTGAGAGAAAGAGAGAGTGAGAGAGAGAGAGAGACAGAGAGTTGCTGAATCTTCACAGCTGGGGACTTGCTTACTAGATAATTTCATTTGCAGGTGTTATTCCAGAGGGAGAGCAGACGCGGTGTACATCAGGATGTAAGATGACAAAGGAGGCTATCAGGTATGCCGTTCTTGTAATAATTCTTAACCCTTTTCTATTTTGGGCTATGAGAAATGAGGTTACGGAGATGATCTCTCGAATTGGTTTTCCTCGATTTTGGCTCGCTACTGCCACTACAGGCAAAAAATATTGACGCACTGGCAAATTACACTTCCTTTGTGTGATTAAGTAATTGAAATGGGGAGTAATTGGAATGTCAACATCATTTTTTATTTTTTCAGATAGAATCCAAGTTTTCTTGCAAATTAGCGAATTACTATTGATTTCAAAGCAGACACTATTTATCATAATAGTTTCTGTATAATGATTAAACCATATCTGTAGCAGAGCTATAATTCTTCACTTTAATGTATATCTAAGAGCTACTGAAAAAATCGTGCTTTTATACCGAAGGAACACAAATTAAACGTTGTACTTTTGTTCCTGTAATATGAAAGAACAACTGTATGATTTAAAAGATACAAAGAGTAATTATTATCCAAACGGAGTAAAAGTTTTCTTGCAATTACATCTGTAACAGCCATTTTATTATTCTAGCCAACTTCAAGCCAGTATCGTACATAAAAAAGTCAAGAGTTCTTAAGGAATCCGTTCTTGGTGATTGCTACTTTGAACTTCTCTTAATCCAGTAATTTATTTCGTGCACTTGAAAAAGTCACCATCAAGCTAAAGGGCCACTGTGTTCCTTGAGATAATTAAAGCTTCAAGCCATCCGAACGCAGAGGTATTAATGGAATTCGTAATGATTCCTTTTTCTCGCCGTTTTCAGGCAAGTCGTTTACTGGGGTTTAGCTTGACGCTCTGTTACAGTTGAATCGTCGCTCTTTGCGCGAGCACTCCGGGTCCGGTAAATACGAAGAAAGAGAGAAACGACGAAGCAAGAATCTTCTACTTGTAATTTGCAGGGTTTCACTTTTGCTTGTGCGCTGGAGCGCATTATACCACCTGAACACTCATTTACAGAGTACATTTTTAATTTTCTTCTTCAAAATCATTTCTGATAAAAATAAGCCCTTTTTTATATAGAAAGTTACTCTTTTTAATTTCATGTTCTTGAGATTAAGTATTCAGTTTTCAACACCGCGATAGCTTTCTCCTTCTGGTAATATACACCGAAACTTTTTTTTGGGATTATCGTTGAAGTAAGAAATGTTCACAGCTAATTCTGTTTTTGTTTGAATATTCCTCTCAGCTAACAAACTAAGTTTTGTTGATTTACTTAGCAAGGTAATCACGTCAAAGTTTAATAGAAGTTCCACTTTATTTTGCCAAGAACTAGAGACCAAGTTGGTATCAAGCAATTTCTTACTTTATTCTTTAATTTTTGAAACTAAACTGACAAAAAAATATCGTTATAACGTTTTATATGGACTAGAA